CACATCATCTCCATTGTCAGCGTCTAAGACTAGTCCCCCTCCTCTCCTTTCTATTTTCTATAGTGCACCAAGGCAGTTGGCGACTTGGGAGGATAGTAGAACCAGTTGTGATCAAGATTGAAGTCAGGATGGAGCTAATTCTTAGAGTAGTTGAAGCTGGCCTTGCAAGACAAAGCCACCTCAACCTTTCTAAGCGTATTTTTGTGGTACTTCTCCACAACAGTGTCTGCACTTCAGCAAGAGACAACTCTCATTTTCTCTTGGCCTCTAGTGCTGCTTGGGTCGTCTCCTTCCACAGAGTCTGCAATCTGCTCCTCTTTCAGCTAGACCCGTAGAGTCTTGATGTATGGGCGAGCTAACCGAGCTCGATCAAAGGCGCCAATCCTTTCTCACCTTCGACATGTTTGGGCCCATCGTATCCCGTTTTCATGAACTATAGTCTTCACCGCCAACTCTCCTAATAGAGAGAGAGAACTTGTTCTCCCATGGGGGGCATCCCGGTTACTAGCCAGGATGATTGCTATTACCCACAAGGATTAGGTCGCAACCCGAGGTTTTCGACCTTAACCTCTTTGAATAAATATTTCACTTGGTCATTCTGCTCATGGATCTCATGTCCGAGATGACCAAGCTCCTCCTTAAGCTTCTCAATCATGTTCGGCTTCTTGCTGCTAAGCGTCTTCATCCCCTTAGGCATTCTGTGTCTCTACCTCTTGCTACCATTAATTGTCCATCCTCCTCTAAGCCGTCGACTCCTTCTCTTGGGTAGCTAGCTTCGCCTCGATGGCTTCTCAGGCAATCTTATCGGCCTCCATTTTCTCTTGAAGCTTAAAGTATATCTCTCAGATATGCTCGTGGTGCCCAAAGTGCTCCTGTTCTACCAAGGCCCCTCAAAGTAAATAACTCCACAAGGCCTGGTGAAGACCGCAGTTAGGCATGGCTGCCAAGGTCTTGTCGTCCTTGGGCAGAAAGAACTACTCCACAGCTCTAGTTTGAGCCATCCGGAACTCCAACATGGACCCCATTTTGTCTAGGCCACCCAAGGAACAAACTAATTCTCCTCGGTTAGGTTCCTCTTTGTGTCCAGGGCTAATTGCAGGCGTCCCTAACATCAACCTCGTCATCCCTTCCCACACATCCATCGGTACTTCATTTATGCAGTGGGGGAAGGGCCATCCAAAGTGACCCTCTTGAGTTGCAAAGACCTCTGCTACCACCAAGTCTTTGGTAGCAGGCTCTTCGGCGGTAGGCTCCTCTATAGCCAGCGCCTTGCCCTCTCGATGGGCCAATTTGGTTGGCGGAGCCTAAGCCATCTCCTCCTCAAACTAAGCCAGGGCCTTCGTAGGCTCGTAAACTATCATTTCACTCCGCTTGATTCGAGCAGCGGACTCCTATTCTAAGACGACAATGTCAACTTGTTGTCCCTGAGGGGCCTCGATAAGAGGAGTGGTGAGCTTTTTACCTTCCTCAGCTTCTTAAGCCAGGACAGGAGTGGCCGCCTCTGCTATGCTCCACTCCCTAGCTTAGATTGGCTCGGTGCCATTACATTAGAGGGACCTCGGCTACTCACCTTTCGCAGCCGCCTCCTCTTCTTAGATCTCTCAGCGGTGCCATTAGAGGGACCTCGGCTACTCACCTTTCGCAGCCGCCTCCTCTTCTTAGATCTCTCAGCCCGAGTAGTAGACACACCTGGCCTAACCAACTAGGCCATGATCTCAGTAGCATTTGTTTCCACCTCCTCGGCCTCTATTGGGGCTAACTCATGCCTCAGATGCTTCTGAGGCATAACTGAAGACCCCGGCTAAGCCTCGTCCATCTCCTTCAGTGGCAAAGCAAAAACCGCTATTTGAACTTTGTCATCTTTGGTCAGTGGGACTCCACTCATAGCATCACAGAATCAAATAGATTCTCAATTCTTTGAGACCCAAAATAGGCCTGAATCTTTTCAAGCCCATCCTTCTCCTCGACCGTAAGGAAGCCCAGCTTCAGAACATCTTTTCTAATCTTGGGCCAACCGAAGTAGGACAAGATCGGGGTTGACCCCAAAAACCTAGAGGAACTTCTACTTCTAGTCTTTATTCGACTCAAGAGCGTTCGAGAGTACTTTGAAGCCGCCTAGGTTCTGTAAGTAGTGCCTTTCCTTCTTCCCTACCTTAACACTGAGTAGGTGGCTGAGCGTACCAAGGGTCGGGTCAACTCCAACCTAGCAACAAATCACCACGAGACCCACCAGTGTGGTGATGGAGTTACAACTTGATTTGGGAAGGTGAGACACCCAAAGCTTCAAAGACACGGTGAAGAAAAGGGTTGAGCAAAAGACAGAGGCCTTACTCTATATGTCAAAGATATATCGGAGTGACGACCATGCTGTGGTCGTACACAGCATGAGCCCTCACTGGCGTCGACAACATTAAGGCACGAGGGATGTCATAACGATCATAATAGGCCTCAAGCTTTGTGGCTTCAAGCGGAACTTCCTTAGGAGATTGATCCTCATCTCGTTGCGAATCATAACAGGAGTAGAAGAAGCCATCAGAGATCATCATAGAATAGCCGAAAATCATTTGGTGAAGAAGTCTAGGGTTCAGAGATTAGAATTAAGAGGATTCATAAATGGAGCTCCTCCAACAAAACTGATATATATAGGCCCAGAGGCGGGTACGTGTCGAGACCAGAGCGGTCTATTTGATTATAGACGTACAACTGAGATCGATCTCGGAAGTCGAAGTGACCGCTTAGGAACTAAAGCACTGCCCTTCGGTTGACACGCCATCTATGCTCAAGAAACGAGGCGACAATGACACAGATCTCTAATGATGTTAGAGCATCACATTAACATCGACCCATTGTTTTCCTCATAAATGCACCTCAGATATCCCAATTGTCGACTGTTCAAATTTCACTCAGACTAGGCCTACTGAGTTCGAATGAAGGTGGGGGGGGCAGTGTTATATCATGTAAATGACTAAGTGTTAATCCCTAACGAGAAGCCAACATGTGTCCTATTTTAACTAGATACCTAATCTACCATACTTTTGAAGGGATGACTTGAGCAACTTCAGCTTGCCTTCTAGGTCGATAATTTTTGAGACAAACTAAAAAGGCGATACTTATCGACTACTCGCAAGATTGAGATGAGAGGCGTCCTCACTCGGCCTACCATTCAAGTCGACCCTTCTTCCCTTTAGTACTCAACCCTTCCAGGTTAACAACTCTAGAGGCCGACTACAAAGGCGGTACTTGTCGACCTCCAACGAGACAAGTTGGAAGGTGGTGTGTCCTCGTGGCCCCCATCGACAGTCGATTGCCATCACATTAAGTGTATGATCAGAGTCATTATTTCTTCAGTCCTGAAAATCTTTATGACTCATTAGATCTTGTCAGCACCATGCACAATGTGTCGCCCTTACATTAAACGCATGAGTGACTCATCCCCCTTTGTAGCCAACACCAGTAAAGTAGATGCGACTGAGCCGCCAACTTGACTCGGCCGAAATTAGCCATCTGCCCCTTCGGATCAACTATAAAAGGAAGGCACTGTTTGCTGCTTAGGGTACGCAATCTTTGGCTAAAAACACACTATTTCTATTCTTCTTCCACATTCAAGCTCTCTACTGACTTGATAATTGAAGGAACCATCGAAGATCCCAACACCGACCTCTTATGTATTCTTCATGTGCAGGATAGGATTCTCGACCCAAGAACCAGCCATCTAAAGTAGATTGAGAACCCTAACATCTATATAGCCCACACTTAAAACATGTTAGATAACTAACATCAACAACATAAAAAAGAGGAAAGGAGGTAGAGTGGAGAATAGAAGAAGAGCAACGAGGAGAGGAGGAAGAAGATGAAGGGTATTTTAAGGATGAGAAAGAGATATAAGTCAGGGAGGGGGTAAACACATGAAAACTTGAAATTTGGGGCATAGAGAGTGTTTTGGGCAGCTTATTTTTGGTCAAACTACCTTTTAACCTAGCTTTTTCACTTCTACATGTTTGGTAAAATATAAAATAAGTTAGCTTATAAGTCATATTTTAAAAAGTTGGTATACCATAGCTTTTGAAAAACCAACTTATAAGCTCACCTAAATAAACTAGGTTTAACCAAACAAATTACTATACTATCCAAATAATATTTTAATCATAAAAATCAAAAGCCATTAAAAGCTAGCATAACTTACAAACTTAAAAAGAATAAGCCTTTACAAACACCATCATAGTCACATGCCTTAAAAAATGAGGGGCTTGGTCACATAAGGTTCTTAATTTTAGAGCATAAACACATCTTTTCCTAAATTCTAGGATGTGTTTGATAACCCATTAAAAACTGGGCCAGGATCAGACGTGTCTCAGTTTTATTTTACACTGGTTTTAGTAGGACCATGGGAGGGAAGATCCAAACTAAAATAAGTTTAATAGGCATTGTTGGCATACAAAAACGAGCCAACTTTGACCTAATTTTTATCAAATAAAAAATATTTAAGCTAGACGAGGACTTATCATGACTCAAGTAAGTACCAAACGATATCTTTTACATTTTTAGGTTCGGGTCGCGTGCGATCCCTGTTTCCAAAACCTTCCCCTGATATTTTTCTCAGGCGTACGTCACGTGGCAGAAGATTTAATTTTTTTCACCTTTCTTATTATTTGGAAAATGTCAGCAGATATTTTGGAGATTTGAAAGGCCGAGGGGTAAAGGAGTAATATCCCGCGCTAGATATTTTTCCCATCAGGAGCAATCACGTGATTGTGGGGCGGCTGGGGCCCACCTTGAACCACCCCCGACCCCACTCCGTTGAGCAGAGAGAATTTAGGACCCGAGCATGCTGGTTGAACCACCGGTCCAAACCGGCCCTTCGAGCACGAGATATCTTTATTTTTCATTAAACCGAGGCGTCTTTCACCCTTAAACCGGCTTAACGAGACCCAAAACCCTAGAATCGAACCGAAAGCCAAACCCAGCTACTTCGTCCTATAAAAGTGGGCATCAGTTGCCCTAGGATTACCTCGTGCTCTCACGGAGGCGGGTTCAGATTCGCCCCTCTTCTTTGGTTCTGTTCTAGGGTTTCCATCTCTCTCTCTCTTATCTGAAGATGGCCGCTGCTGATGTTGAGTTCCGCTGCTTCGTCGGGGGCCTCGCGTGGGCCACCGACAACCACCGACAGCCACTCCCTCCAGCAGGCCTTCAGCGCCTACGGCGATGTCATCGACTCCAAGGTAGGGCAAAAATTCAATTTTTATCGCCATTTCATCTTTAAATTCTACGGATCTGATGAGTTTCGTTTCGTTTCGTCTCGATCCGTTCTCGGTTTCAGATCATCAACGATCGGGAGACTGGGAGATCTAGAGGCTTCGGATTCGTTACCTTTGGCAGCGAGCAGGCGATGAAAGACGCTATTGAGGGGATGAACGGCCAGAACCTCGACGGGAGGAGCATCACCGTCAACGAGGCCCAGTCCCGTGGATCAGGCGGCGGAGGCGGCGGAGGATTCAGGAGCCGGCCGGGAACCCGGCGGTTGGTTACGGAGGTGAACGCCGTGAAGAAGGCGGCGGGACAGTCCGTGGAGGCCTGGTGGCGAGCGTGGGTTACGGTTCACCGTGACCGCCGGCATACGGGGGTTGGGTCGATGGCGGGGGGAGCTGGAGGAACTGAGAAACGTTTACCCCGGTCCATCTATGTTAGGGTTTCGGAGTTTGGGTTTTGATCTGCAGTGATTGTTAGGGTTAGGGTTTCAAGGGTTATGATGCTATCTTTAGTTTGCTTGTGGTACTGGAAAATGAAATAAGTAATGAAAAAAAAAAGTTTGGTTTCTGTGTAATTTTGCTGCTTTCTGTGCCGTGTGCTAATCATTCCTTGTGTGCGTGGAGATGGGAAAGAAAGAATTGTCGAGGGTTTATATTAGGGTAAATTTCATAGCTTTCTGGTGGTTACCATTGAGACCTCGTTAACCTTGTTTTTCTAGTCGAAAATGCAAAACATTTTCACCATAAATGTCTTAAATAACCCCCCGAACTTGCAATTTTTTCCACGAGACTCGGAGAGTGTCTTGCAAGAGGAGGGCCTGTATTCTCTGTTCAATCTTTTCTTCAAGGCTGCTAGGTTTTGAGGGTTTGAAGGAAAAGTTTTTGGGTCCCATGTGGAAAAACAAAGCTTTAGCAGGTACTTCGGTTCCATCGCCAATGCATACATACATTGTTAGATCATAACAAAAAATAAAATAAAATAAAGGCAACTAGAGATCATAAAGAATCAGCGTGGATGCAGCATGTAAATAGCGTAAAAAAGATGTTATAAAAAGTAAAAACTTGACAAAGCTCTCGTGAACATCGGTCTGTGATTTGTACGAATGATCATGAGCTTCATAAATTGACGAAACTTCCCTATGGTTCAGAGAGCTTCACGGAACTCACAAACCTTTGGAAAGTTCCTACTGAACTTTGGGGCAAGCGCAAATATACCAGACCTATGCAATCACGTTATGAAATTAATTCAAGCATGATACAAAAGTCACAAAGTAAAATCACAATAGCAATACACAAGCATGTTGGTGATGTTTCTCGTCATTTCTAACAGTAACTTGATAATCCAGCAAACCTGTGTTCCTTTCATTTTACAAGCAAACAACTCCGAAGCTCACAAGATATGAGCAGAGATCATAACCCCAGAGTAGCACGTAAAACTACCCATCAGCTTCATCACCTTCAAAGCTCCTAAAGATAACAAGTGACCCCAAATGTTGCAAGCGGAATACAACATGAATCTACCCAACTACAGCTAGTACGGGGAGTCACTACACCTACTACAGAAAAGAGTAGAGGAAAACACGCTACTAGAGCAATAAAGGCTTACAACAGAGAGAGAGAGAGAGAGAGAGACATAAAAACTACCTATTTACCAAGATAGTACCACATAGTAAAGAAGGATGATGAAACAACACATTCATCCCGAATTAAAAGAAGAAAACCTAACCCTTTGCTATCTTAAATGCTGCCAGATGAAAGGGTTGTGTAAGTTGCCGGTCGGATCCTCCATTGATCAGAGTTCTATGGGGTTGTTTGTTGTGCAAATACCCCTCCAGAGCCTAATTCAATTGGATGAAAAACCGTCCCAGCAGCCCGCAACAAAAATAATACCAAGCGCAGTATTCACATAATCTCCATGGCTACTCCTCACTCAACCAAAACCTGGAGGAACATCAAGATCATCATCACCCTCATCCCCCACTCCAGCAACATCCTTTGTACCATGGTTGAAGCCAGGAGGCGTGTCCATAATATTCACATCTTCATCCATCTCATCACCATCGCCAACCTTAGCAGAGGTTGTATCCTCCTTACCATGAGCTATTATGCCAAAGCCAGGAGGCATATCATCATCATCATCATCATTATCCAAATTCTTAATCTCTTCTTCATGTGAATCCTTGCATGCTGCAAATCCTGGTGGCATCTGAGGTTCACTTTCTTTGGCTTCTTCTGGGGTAGGAGAGGAGTGATGGTCCTCTTCCTTTGCTTTAGGATTCACAATTCTGTTGTAAACAGACTCTACCGTCACCCTGATATCTTCTTTCGTGCTATCGTTCCTTATGACCTTCCATATCTCATCCGAGATCTGACCCATAATTTTCTTCCTGAATTCATAAGAAAAGTTATGAACTAGGAAAATTAAAGCTATAGTATTTTCTCTGTTAAAAGAGTAGAGAGCCAGCTTACCCGAGCTCTTGATAGATAGCATCGGAAAGTTGTCTTAGTTTCAAGTTCTCTGACCCATCTTGATTAACTATTTCTGACTGTTTCACTTCTGCTATGATGCTATTGCGCAACTCCTCCTGAGAGAAAGTTCCTTGTTTAGGTATGAGATCGGTTTTGGACTTTTAGGCAGTAAAAAAACACTTTTACAGTAAATATCATCTAAAATAAATATTACAGATCTGAAGTTAAGCATTTCCGTGGCATCATGCCATTAATCGTGGCTACAAAATTCAATTAAACAAAAAACCACATTGGTTGAACAAATTCATTTTATGGTATGGCTGAAACTAGCATCTACATGTTGATCTCAACTTAAATCTTGATGTATGCAATAAGTACACAATATTGGCCACTAATTCATCCACGACTTGATAGATGGCCTTGTATTTGTATATATGAACCAAATTTAAAGTTGAAAGACAGGTACTGAAAGCAAACAAATACCAATATAACCACATTCAGTGTTTATGGTAAAGAACTGTCCTTGGACCTTGATTCATACTGTTCAAATTTTTTTTGATGTACTGGAGGTAAAGGACAAGAACTTTTGGTCCACTGTTTGGTTAAGGAAGATCTATAAACTGTTTCATGTTCATCGACTAAAACCAATATTAAATCTGATATGAACCCATTAAACTATAGAGGTAGGAATAAGGCGCTGAAATCTTACAATTAAAAGAATCACAAATTCCGTTCATCTTTATTATGTCTATTCGTTTGGAGCTAACCAAGATACAGCCACCAAATTTTAAACTGACTAGGGAAGACATCATGCAACAATTAGTTCATGTGCTTTTTTCAAAAATAAGAAATTTTTTAATGGAAAATGTACCAACAACTGTATATCTGTTATATAATGTGAAGAAGTTAATGAAGTAGAAACATAAGCATTCATAAAAGCTCACAGAAAGCAATCAGCACAGGTAGATTTCACCATCATGGTCAAAAGATAGTAAGCAGAGGGTTATCAATAACATTGCACGACTATTGGTCAACTAAAAGTAGATTTATTATTAGAACTTTAATCTTTTCTAACCTACGAAAGTGTGAATCACTCACTGTTAGGCATGTAAAAATTTTGAAGTTAATTTATCAGTTTATGATGACACGTAAACTATTTGTAGTATGCTAAGTAAAAAGTTCATGGAAAATCTATCATAGTATCATGTAAGACTGTTCCCTATTTGTTCCAAAATTAATGTCAAAATGATATCACCTTATACACTTCATCGCTACAATTCATATAAAATGTCTTAACCATGTCAATTAAAGGCCTAAATAGATTTATTAACATATGGACTCATGGCTGAGTTGATTCAAATACACATACAAATTTCTTGGTGCATGATTCAAAAGAGCTGTGTCCGTATTGAACTTTTAGAAAGTTCTCATGCTGGGCACTTTTGAGAAATATGAACACTTGATACCTATGTCCTATGTTCATGTAGTGTAGTACATCTTGGCACCCATGCCTTATTAAAAAGACAAAATACTAGATGAAGTCTTATGCCAAAATAAATTCAAGGGAGGATTCTCAAGCACCTCTGCAACAGAGCAAGGTGTCTAAGTACAACAGCAATCTCATGGACATATCAAGACAAAAGAATGGAACAGAAAAGTAGAGAAATCAAAGAGAGGCATTCTGGAAGACAATACCTGATCGACTGGATAATAAACTTCCCATTAGGGAAGAATCATAAGCTATGCTCTTAAATACGTTTAATCTTAAATATTTAGAAGAGACTTACCGTTTTTGCTTCTTTTCTTCTTCTTCTTTTTTTGATTATTTACCATAGTCCACATATTTGCATAACCTTTCTGGAAAAATAATACTCAGACATACTTGTGCAGTGTCATCCACGTTAAGCAACACAAGCAGAAGTGGTAATATTATGTCTTATGTGGACTATGATGTGAAATTTGAGGCATGTAGAATGGTGAATATAATGTCATGTATGGGATCGGCAGCTTTTTCACTTCATATTGAGTCATTTTCATATTATTTCTGTCCTACTTGAATTCTCTTTCCTTTAAATATTTTCATTTATTTAGAGTATAGTTTCATGTACACATTGTTAGAATATAAAACTATAATCATGAAGCCTTATTATAACTTTGGAGTTTTGATGTAATAGTTAAGAGGGGCTAACTAAGGTTTTAAATATCGGATATCGGGGAAATATCGGATGGCCAAAATTCATATCGGATTGCGGATATCGGGGAAATATCGGGGATATGTGGTAAATATCGGAATGCCATAATGAATGTTTGCATACATAGTATAATGCATTAAAATGTAATCTCAACATATGTAATGAAATTTAAGCATACAAATATGAATAATATATGTTTAGGATCACTAATCAACCTTCTCAAACAAACAAAAGTGCAAAGCAACGTTGCAACATTCGATCTGCTTTTTTAGGGCAAAATGTCATTTGATATAATGGGAAAATCTTGATATCTCGCCCAAAAATTCCAAACACGGTATATTATTTTACAACAAGCTATATAAAAAGATATATTGGTCCACATATCGGCTAATATATCGGTCATATCGGGGATTTATCACTCAAAATAGCCAAAAAACGGTAAAGGATATTTAAAGACCATATCGGTTGCGGCAAGCCCTGTAAAAGGATATATCGGGGGATATATCGGGCCATGTCGGGGATATTTAAAACAATAGGGCTAACACATAGTATCATCAGAGTCAACCTTGGTTCGAATCTTGCTAGCCACGAATTTAATACAGATTAAAAAAATTTATTACCGCTACGTAAGTCCAAGTATCAGCACATAAAAAAGAGTGCGTTCAAGTTGCGGCGGTATGTTAGAATATAACACTATAATCCTCAAACCTTATCATAACTTCAGAGTTTTGATATAATGGTGAGGGGGACTTTCACACATTGAATGCTAGCAAGATGCCCTATATTGAATTTGTAATTTGTCACGACCTTCTCATGTCATATTCTTGCTTCTTAGCAGTGTAGCAACTAAAATGTTCTAACTTTACTTGTAAAAGCTTGTGTAGGAACCTTTAAAAATTGCCAAGAGCTTAGTTATGAATTGCACTCCAGCCACATAAACCTGTCTCATGTCTGGTATCATCTAAGTACGAAATGAGGAAGCAGGATATGGCTAGGCTGATAAATATATGGTGTGGCACACTGATAACAACAAATTACAATTATACATACAAAACAACAGTTACATGAGAAGAGGTGCAGTATTAATGTCCGTGTATATGAGTCAGACCAAACACAACTTTAGGAAAAAGGTCGGTTCTCCATTGGTGTCATTTAAACCAAGCATGTTTGCTCCAAATCACCAACACCGACTAGTAATCAGCAACAGGGCTACTTTTCCCCTAAATTTGTGTTCAAACAGTATAGATAGAAAGAATGATCGGGGGCAAAAATGAAATTTAGTAGTAGTGACTAGGTCCCGTTGGTTTTGAACCAGAGATCTCTTAGAGCATACATGACAGAACAGAGTCCATTAATGATGACAGGATCTTGCATGTAGAGAAAAGAAAAATTCCTACCAATTGTCTTTGCCACCATTTTTTCATGGTCATGATCCTTATATTACTTGTCTTTTCCAAACTTAGAAGGACCTTTACCATGCAGTAGAACAAAGACCCCTTCTCTTTTATTTGTGCCCACAAGGACCATGTTATCATTAATAGAGAGATGATTGTTGGGAAGAAGATCAAATTGTAAACTAATCCTAGTGAAGTATAACTCCCGTGTTCTTATTGTTAGTAACTCACTTGGTCAAGAATTCATCACTATCTCTATGCTTCTATCTCATTGGTAAGTACATGATTTATTATAACAATGCCTCTACCATTATCCTGGCAACTAACAGTAGTCGTTAATAATTCATAGAGTAAGATAAGTATTGCTGGATATGTTCCTTTTATCCGAAGGGCCAGTAATTTGGCATGCCCTTGTCATGTCATCTTCTCTTTGGTATCCATCACCTTGCTACTTACAAGGGTAGCAACCAAGTGTTTCTAACTTTACTAGTAAAAGCGTGTGAAGGAACCTTTACATGTTGCCACAAGCGTAATATTGTAGCAATGATTTGTACTCCAAACATACATGCTCAACAAATTGTGGAATTATATATCCAAAAAAATAGTCACATGAAATAGGTGCAATATCTAATAAGTGTATATACACAAGATGCAATTTCATGTAAAGTTAGGTCCCCAATGATTGTGTGATAGGATAGATAAAGTTGTGTCACCAATGCCTCAAATCCGCTGTGGTTTCTTCTGCATGAAAAGATTCATAGGAGATTAGTTGTGTGAAAAAGTAATGTAATCCTATTCTTTCTTCTATCTCTTTGTTTTTTATCTCTATATTTAGATTTCCCCGGCAACTGTGTGATAGGATAGATAAAGCTAGAAAGAGGTCTTGTTTAGATTGGAGAAATCTTTATCAGGATCTTCTAGCTTAATAACTTAGGAATATGTATGTAGACTCAAAATTCAGGAAGGTTTAGGCGTGCTAGATCTTAGAACATGAATATTGCTCTGTTGAGTAAATGGTTGTGATATTAGTTCAGTGATAGGAATAGTTTGCGAAAAAAGTGGTTAGACATAAAAAAGTGGTTACACATACTTATTATGAAGGAAAGGATATCCTGGGACTTAAAAAATATACGCTTCTACTTTTTGGAAAAATAATGTTTAAAATGTTGATTGTTTCTTAAAGAGTACTAAGATACAGATAGGGGATGGAAAAAAGAACTTTTTTGGATGGATAATTGGTGCGGAGTTGGGACTTGGGGTCTAGATAGACAAATCTTTTGTTTTGGTTGTGAAACCAAAAGCTAGAGTATATTCTTAAAAAAATGGGTTAAAAAACTTTGTGTGAGATATTTCTTTTGAGAGACAATTACAAGGAAATTTGGTTTTGCAATACATGATCTTGTTGCATGATCTCAATAGTACTCCTATGTGTGATAGAAAGGATTCTAGAATTTGGTTATAAGATAGTAAAGAAGTTTTCTCTCTGAAATCTATGTACAACTTCTTTAGATGGGGTGTGAGATGGGAACATGCTAATAATTTGTGGAAGATACTAGTTCTTCTAAAGATAAAAATTTTAGTTTGCTTAAACATTAAACATAGATTAAATATTAAAGGCAGACTAGTTAAGAGATGGATTCTTGTTGATCCTATGTGTGTTCTGTGTGATGCTGAACTAGAAGATCATAACCATTTATTTTTAAATTACAGTTTTCTAACTTCTAGTGGAACTCAATTCTGTTCAAATTCAGTTTATAATTATGAATTATCTATGATAGGGAAGTTTCTGAGGTGTGGTCATGGAAGAACTTTAGCATTTTAGCCAAAGATAAATTGAAGTGGAATATGGTGGTTTGGTGTGTGTTGTTGTGTGTGGATAGAAATTTGCTTATTTTCTAGCAAACAAAGAAACATTCATTAGAGATTTTGCAATAGATTTTTCATTTTGTGGCTTTTTGGCTAGGTAATAGTCCTTCCAGGGTCAAGGATCTGAAGTATTCTCGCAAGAAGGCCAAAGTGTTGTAGAGAGATAAAGATGGAGCTGAAAGTTCGACTGATGGGTAACGTTGCAGTTTGTTACAAATGAAAATGCTAAAGCTGCTTTTGAAAAAGAATTGTAATAGATCTTTTGGTGACCTAGATTTTACATATAGGTTGTGTGTTGCTATAAGGACTAACAGTTGTGTGTTACAGTGGTTTTTGGACTTACACATATAGTTTCCTATGTCTTGGTATGTTGTTTAGATCTTTGTGGTGCTAGGATGTAAACTTGCTTTGTAAAAACAATCATTTGCTGAAATGGAAATGAAAGTAGATGAAGGCTGGTGTTTCATTTTCAAACTCCATCCTGGTTAATCAATAAATGTGAAGTGTAAGTTCTACATATGTGTAAACATGATATGCTTGCTTGAAATCACCGTCCACTCATTGCTCTGCAACAAGGAGGCTCTCTAGATTTGTGTTCAAACAGTAGATAGAATAGACTAGTCCAGAGAGAGAACAAAGTCAAGTTGTAGACAATGTTGCTATTTAATCAAACATCTCTTATACGATATAACAGAGGAGAGAAGAGTGACCATTAACGACTATTGATCTGGATGCAAGAAAATGTTCCTACCAACTAATCTCTACTACCATTTTTTATGGTTTCGGACTCTAGCTCCAACTCCCCATGCTCTTTCACTACTATTTTTTTGGTTTTGGACTCTAATCTCCAACTCTCCATTTTCTCTTTTAATTGTTCCCATAAGGACAGGTGGGGATCGGTGGCAAGAAAAGGAATTGTTAATTGATCCTAGTGAAACATCTTATCAAAATCTTGAATGATGTCTCCCATAATCACAATCTATGTTTCTC